TAATCACAAATTTTGGATCGTTGTAAGGCTAAACTACAATGAAAATGTACTTTGGCCTCAAAACAAATAAATCTTCCAAAAATCATAAACCAGAAAAGTGAACATAGGCTATGCAACAGATGCTTGTAAATAGGTTTACAGAGAATATCGCCAAGAAATACTTTATATTAATTCCAGACAAATTATTACTTTCTGCATTTCATTTCTTAAGTATTCTTTTTGGTATTTTGCCCACTAGATTTACAGGTCTGTTAGTTTTGCAGATCCCTTTTAATCTCTTTACCAAACTTGATAAGACCTTTGACATCTTAATATAATTAAATCTCACCAATTTCATTATAACCTTATGCGTTGCTGTCGAATGTTCTTTCCTTTCAACTCTTACTAATTCTGCCAATCAAACAAGTCCATATATCTTATATTGGTCACTTATGGCAAGTTTTTCATAAAGCACCTCCTTATATTGTCTGGTAACTATCCTAAAACTCCTTTTTCTGGGACCATATAACGTTGAGGTTTTTGCCTGTTCAATTATTGATAGCTCTGGAATGCCTTACTATTTTATTGTATGCGTTTTATAACACTTGCTTTGTTACTTTTGGTACAAAAGATGTTGAGTGACATTTATATTCACAGATTATGGAATGAAATGGACTTTGATAAGCAGCTTTCCAACATGTGTATGCTTTTTACTTTCCAATCATTCCGGAAGTTGATCCTTCAAGAAGGAGAAAAATTGGTCCTGGTTTGGTTGGATACACCATACAATCAAGCTGTGTATGGACTTGTTGACAAATTAGGTATGTTAATGGTCCAAGTTTTCTCCAGGTTTCCTGTGCATTTTTGTGTTATTGTTAATAGCTAGAAGATCACAAATCTTTACAGAAATTAACATGTAATTTTGGAACCGTGATTAATATTTGCATGCTTCTGATTTTTAGGAGCATGTTGATATGTCTCTTCATTTGTTTTCCTTATCTTTTTTTTATTTTATTTTTACATTCCAGGGAGCTTAGTTGTGAGGATGGTGTTTCTTCCTTTTGAAGAAAGTTCTTATGCTACATTTGCCAGGTCCACATCAGGTTTATTTCTCTCCTTGGTTCTTTTGTTGCATATCTGATATGGGAAATATGTGTTTGTCTAAGTGCATGCAGCTGTAATTTGTGCCCTTTCAAATTGAAATAATTCTTAATTTCTCTTGTTTGTCTCCTGACAGGAGAATACCTTCAGAAAAGCAAGAAACTAGGCAGCTGCCTTACTGAGGCCCTGAAGCTTGTTTTGTTAATTGGTATATTATCATTTAATTTATCAAAATTTTCTTTTCCTTGTTCACTTATTTATTCTACTCTTGTCATAGGAAGTCCCTCTCTTTCTCAAATTTAGAAACAACCATTCAAAGAAACTCTTGTAGTTAAGTGAATAGATAGTCATGGGACGATAACGATATGAGATATTTCCATTTGTTAGGTTTTCAATGGCTTATTTTGAATGATATTCTTCTAGAGGCAAATTCAAATTTGTAAAATGTTTACCATAGCCATTGCCAGACGTTTATATTTTTTGCTTCTGCTAAGGCCTTGATGCTTCCTGGAGACGTATTTTTATATAAAATAATGCAAGAAAGCAATTCTTGCTAATTTCAGATGTGGTATATTTTTTTCAATTTTTTTATTGAACCATTTCGGCCCTCCTCTTTCACTTTGGTATTAGTAATAGTTGAATTAAAGAAGTATATAGGAGGCCAGCTTTTTTCATAATTTTTCTTTTCTTTATCCACTAAGTTTCTTTTGCCACAAGGTCTGCTTTTCAGTACACTTCCTATTCTCGAACAATTTCTTTTTTGAACAATATTTTTTTGCAAACTACGTGTTGCGACTATGTGCTAATCCCTGTTAAGCTTACAACTGCTCGGTAAGTTTGAGTATCAGGGAGTCACTGTATTATTTTTCCCAGCTTTCTGATATTGCTTTTTTCTATGATTTTCATGTCCTATGATAA